AACTTGCCGAAACCGCAGGATTTGCAGACATTTATTCAGAAGACTACAGCGGATATTTTAAGAATATTAAAGATTACATATATTTAAACGGTGAAAAATACCGACCAAAAGATATTTCACCCATAAATATTTTCAGTTTTGTAACCTTAAATAACGAAATTCTCGCCTTTCTAGGATGGCCCCTATTACATCTTAGAAAGATTAACTATTTTATACGCTATGTTTAATTTTATAGGATTTCTTTTCTCACTGTTAAAAGGAATCTATAACACATGCGCTATATACACACAAGTGAACCGCCAAGCAAGTGTAGCACGTATTTTATTTGCAGGATTTTTTGGAATTTTCTCATCATCAATCAATAAAATACTTCTAGATGCACAAATAAAAGACTACAATACAAAAATATCCACAAGAACAAATACATATGACGAAGAACATAATAATGTCGATACAACACCTAAAGCACCACAGATACCAACCCTACCACAAAACCATCCATTATCATTAGTTCCCCGAAATTTTCGAAACCTAGCAATCACAATTAATCCAAATTTCAGACCAAATACAACACAAAGTCCCATTCAACACATAATGACACATCATTCACAAAATGATAATACATATGAACAAATTATCGAACAACCTCATAACACCACTTTTCAGTCCCAAAATAATCATTTTTTTAGCCCACCATGAGCCGACAAATTGGATCCCTCCATCGCTCAAATTCCCACCCAGCAAACCTCCAAACTCAAATCCCAATTATCCCACTTTTTGCTTTCGCGCCACCCGATTCTGCAGTTATTAATATACCATCAAGCATGAATTCTGATACTTACTCAGATATTTCAGTTTTTCATACCATCTCACAATTTAACAACTCCGATGTAGAAACTCCCGTCGAATTCGCAAACTCCGAACCGTCTCCCTCTACCCATACCCAGACCAACTCTTCAGCTTTTTCAAAACCCCCTTTCGACCCATCCGAACCAGTCATCCACTCCCACCTCTTTCCACTCCTTCTTACGCTTCCCAAGTATCCTCAACCTATTCTCCATTTAATTCCGACAGATCGCATAATAACTCCCCAGTTAACATTCAAATTCCCAAAGAACTCGACAATTTTATTACACTACAACAGCAATTAACATACCCCCACACTCTTACGATACATCAACTGTCATCAACAGTAACATTATCAAATCCACAAACACCTACACCACTTTCAGATTACACTCCATCATTAGCTCAATCATCCACATCCACCGAAACACCTACCAGCACTAACCGAGCTTACCGCACTTTTAAACGAAAATTTCCAAATCACCCATTTACAACAAAACCCGGAACAGCCAGAGAATATATCAACCACCAAGATCACACAAACACAAAAAATTACCTTCAAGTAACCCTACCCTCATTTCCACAATATACCTTAAATACTTCTACCACTACTAATGAAACACGAAATTTTGTTGATGAGCACGTTTTAATGCCAACACTTCATTGGACAGCTTACTACAACTATACCCCCTTTATCTACCACTCACTAATACTAATGAAAATATCGAGAGAAACAAAAATATACTATATAGACTCACCACAACATTAACACCTCGACAATTTACATACGTTGGATATAAAAAATTATTGAAAACATTCTCCGCAACCCGAGCTAACGATTACTCACTTGAATACTATGATCATAATATCATCCGTCCTAACCAAGATCAATTTTTAGACGAAGGCCGCTTTGCAAACCCGCAACTAACCGAAAATTTTTTTATTAAAACACAATACCTATTTACACTTAATATTTTTGATAAAAAGCACGATCATATAATTTCAGAAGCACTTGTTGACATACAAGCATATGAAAGCTTCTATGATAAATGTCAGTTATTTTCACAAACATTTCACTTTCTTTCACCACAGGAACGTGATTTATACTGTTCCCACGATATAATGTTACGCACTAAATTATCGTTTTATACAAAACCATTTTGATTTACACACATCATCACGACAACCCCACCATCGTTTTCAGTTTATTAACTCGAAATACACGTCACCATTCTTTCTTAATTTTACATATTGCATTAAAAATACTAACCTCCACGACATTCTCCGCAACTACGACCCAGTTACCCAAATGTATATATTCTGTCCCATCACGAAGACTCTCAACGATGAAGAATCAAGACCCTTCATTATCCCGCATGAATTCATACAACCTATCGAAATACTCATACTAGAATTTATTCATAACACTAAATATCATCATAAAACTTACAACCTAATTCAAAACACACCTCATGAATTCGCAGTAGGCACAGAAGAACTAAACACCATCAACGCACTTCAAATGCTTTGGCCACTGCTACAAACTAAAAATGTTATACGCATACTAGCCAAGTTATTAACAACATCAGACTTGATTCACGACATCTTCCCACATGGCTTTTTCCCAGATGAATAAGGTAAATATGAATTAAAATAATTTTAACTAATAAATTCAAAATTATACTAACCATTTTCTATCAATGTTTAATTTATTCTTTTAGTCTTCACACCACAATCATCTACAAAACATAAAAATACAAACTTGTTAATTCATAACAAAACTCCTAATACTTTCGCACTAAATGTAATAAAATTCATACCCAGTGTAGTAATTTCATTTATAAATTATTTCCCCAAGAAGCAGTAAAAAATTAAATACGATGAAAATTTATAAATTTAAACTTCCCCAAAAAGCAGTAAAATTCAACTTTCAAGCAATGAATTCATAAAATGAGAAAGCAGTACTAACTTTTTCAATATTTTTATTCATTCGCACAGGAATTCTATCCAAACTCGCACAGCTCGCCCACAAAGATTTTTTTAAATAATGGATTTCAGTTTCAAATTTTCACACTCAACAACTCTAACACACAATAACAAGTTTCAAACTTTTCTTTAAACCGGTTGGAAAGGAACTTTATACTAAAGCAAACTAACCAACGGAGCTTACTAAACATCACAAATCATAAAATAACAGCATGACTAAGAAAAGAAAACCAATGGTACCCAAACCAGATTAACCCAGCTTAAAACTGGATAATTTATTCTTTTAAAGACTATTATAAAGTCTAAGAAAGAAATAATAAAACACAAAAAAGTCGCAAGACAAACCCAAACCAAAAATAATTTGATTTTTGAAAAAAGGACACAACCAAAGTAACATAAGAAAGACCAGAAAAACCAACATAAAATGTTATCACATAACAGGACCTTTCAAAGAAACAGCATGAAATCATACTCCCACTCGAGGCCTAACCCACCAGAGAAGGACGTCCTGAGCATGCTTATAGCCGGCCTAACCCAACGCGCTACACCCACGCTTTGTGACCACGCTTTGATTTTGAAAAAAGGACACAACCAAAGTAACATAAGAAAGACCAGAAAAAACCAACATAAAATGTAATCACAAAACAGGGCCTTTCAAAGAAACAGCATGAAATCATACTCCCACTCCTGGCCTAACCCACCAGAGAAGGACGTCCTGAGCATGCTTATAGCCGGCCTAACCCAACGCGCTACACCCACGCTTTGTGACCACACTTCAATTTCTAATAAGAGGCACTCAAGGGTGAGTAACTCTTCAAAATAACTGAACTAAAATAAAACGCTTTTGTGAAACCAACTAACTAAGATCATGACTAAAAACCAAATTAACCAAACTAAATTTAAAAATTTATAAAATGTAAATCATAATATGCAGTATATAGGTCATACACAACAACAAAGACGAACATCCAAAGACTAGACGATTACATCACACTCGAACAAAAGAATGGCTAAACACAACCGACATGCCGTCCACAATCACGACTCAAAGGATTTAGAGTACGACTTGACTACGCAGAAAAGGACTTCATTGAACTAGACCAATGACCACCTCGATGTTCAAGTTTACGTACAGATCCGAGATTACAAGGCATCCCTTCCAAACACGATCTTCACGCCATTCCCAGACGAGGCTGTACACAAAACAGTTCTCTACTAATACAGAAAAATCTGACATAGCAAACCATTTTGAAATCGGATTGATTTCATTGGGGATCACAGTCGTTGTCGAATGACAAGATAATAACTTCATATCCATCATTCCAGCGTCCTGGAACGTTCTTCTTTAAGAGGAACCGGATAAGAAAATGATGTTCGCCAAATACCAACGTTCATCATCCATCCTTCAATTACAGAAAGAAATATAAATCTAAAAAACTCTGTGAGCCCCGGATGGGTGGAACCTGATCTAAACTACACTTTTTTATTGGATAAATTAGATATTTTATCACTATAAAATATTTAATATTAACCAATCATATTCCATCTAACTAACAAACCACTTATTTGTAAGTGCTGAAATAGCTTGTAATTTCAGCACCAGAGAGATTTGAATTTAGCTTAGAAATTAGTTACCTCTCCAAGAGAACTTCAGCAGCCGCAATAAGCCAGTATACTCTAGATCTATTGAGCCTAACAGAGACTAGTTAAACACCCTGAGACTAGTAGATATAAGAGTAAGATTAGGATCGGTATTAGACTAAGAAGTTGCACGAATCTATCTGGCCGAAAATAAGATAGCGTGACGAGCAGACGGTGTACCCTATCCGAAATTACTCTATGAGTTATACCACATAAGACTTAACTCAATAATATTTTCGATTTTGAGCTCAGGGTTTCAATGTTTTTTAGATTACATTTAAAAAACAGGAAAAAATCTCACAAAGCATAATTATTCTGTTATTTTCGCCAAAAAGCCGGACAAATAATTCCTTGTTCGACTAGTCATAATAAGAATTTTGAGCTCAAGACTTCAATATCTTTTCTATGACTAAAAGTTGGAAAAAAAACACGGGGCTCAAGTATTCTGTTCTTTTCGTCGAAAAGTTGGAACAAATAAAACTAAACACTGATAGTCAGAAAACAAACGGGGTTGAAACAGTACTAACATGTATTCCCTTTCCTCACTGTAAGTTCCTCCTGAAGTTTCACCAACGTATGAAAACACTACCTTGCTCCCAGTTCCCGGCTCAAATGCAACTGAGAACACAATCTGATCTTTTTGCCGAGCAGTACTGACTTCAAAAGCATCGCCTGTATTGGCAGGATACGTGGGCTGGTTCACCTCGTAAGTATCGCTGGAGAGGCCATTCGATTCGGTTTGGAGGTAGAAAAAGTAGTCTTCGCCGGCTGTTAGGCCATCGAACCAGAATGAGTCTTCTTCGGTCGGCACCACCTCGCATTTGTTTTCAGAACTGCAGCTTGATCCAGCTGGCTCAGACCACAGTCTGAATTTCTAGAAGCACAAAATAGTTAACTAGTTTCAACACAAAGGTCAACCAGGGTCAATACAATGACGGGTCGGGCAGCCTGTATTATTAGCTATTCAAACCCGTGTATTTATTGTTTTCTTCGACATTTTTGACGGCATAATTAATGAAAAAGTCAACTAGCAAATTACATCGGAAAACGTAAACTGAAAGCAATCAACGTTATCAGTAAAACATCATTTAAGTCAATCATTGCATCATTGAGAGAACAACAAGACAGAAGTCGAACCGTTTGGTCGATACATACGTCAGTCGACTGAATGGCAATACTTACAGTGATTTAAGGCAATAAAGGCAATACTTAAAGGCAATACTTCCAGTGATTTTTCCTCGCCAACTTAAATATGCAAGCCTAGCAAAAAAAATAGCCTTAATTATATATATTATGTTGAAGAGTATGTGAAGGGAACTTGCCTGTGCGCATCCCGATAGCTGCCAGAAAAATTCGACGTCATGCAAGTCCGGAATCCTTTCCATTTTTTCACCTGGCATCGCTGGAGTAGTGGACACCAGAACTGAAGTGTTCATCTGGCTCAATTCCCCGTTAAACCATGTGCTGAAGAAATAGAATGAACATTTGGTCATATCAAATTCTGATTCTCAACCTCATAACCAGTTCTTATTGTTCGTTTTCGGCTCAGGCTCATCAAATCAGAAGTTTTCAATTTTTTACACACTCCAATAAAGATCAAGTGTTTTAACTACAAAATAGGTAAGCTTACATAAATAGTGCAGATAGGTTTTTTAAAGGGGCACTGCGCGCCGAAAAAAAAACAATTTTTTGGTCAAAGCCATCATAAAAATGCCGAAAAATGTCTAATTTGGCCTGTTTTTACAATATTTGCCAGCGGCGGAGAATATTTGTAATAATTTTTAATATTAGCCAGCGGCGGATCAAAATAAGGTCTTTTTAGTGATCTAGGAGAGCTTGGAAAATCAACTAATTCGATCCAAAAATAGTCGACAAAAGTTTTACCTCTCCCCTCGAGAAAATCTTAAGTCCGCCCCTACCTGCGCATCAGATTTAATATGTTTTTTGGAGTTTTTATCTACAAACTACATATTTTCATCAGGTAGCAATAGCTACACTAATTTACACAGTATGTAAATTGATCTGCAAAAATTACATACTTACAATGGGTCCCTAGTCGAGGTGCTCGCTTTTTTTCGACCACCTCGACCAAAAATTGGTATGTTTCGACCGTGCTCGACCCAAGCAAGATATGTTTCGACTGTGTTCGACCAAATTCGGATGTGTTTCGAACATTTATCCAAATTTAAATGTTATGATTTATGCTTTTCGGGTAATCTTATGATACTTTTTTTCTCAAAATGAAATGATTACAGTTATTTGGAATTTAAATGCATTGTAGAGAGCACTATTTTTAAGCCTTTTCTTTCCATCTTTTGGATTGCTGGTTTGCAATTTGAGCTAAAAAAAGGTAAAGTTAATGTTGATATGTGAAAAATAAAAAATATTTTGACTCGAATTACCGCGACAATCGATTTTTTTTGACCGTGCTCCATGTTTGTTTCGACCGAGCTCTAGTTATGTTTTGACCGTGCTCGAGCGTGCTAGAGGTTGTTTCTACCGTGTTCTCGAAGTATGTTTCGAATTTGTACTCGACCCAAACCCCTGTCTCGACTATAATTTTTCGTTCAAGCACTGACAATTGCTCGACTTTGAAAGTCGAAACTTAAAGTGAGCACCTCAACCCGGGTAGTTTTTATTACTGAAAGTGTAATTTGTTGCAAAATTGCATGTAAGAAAAATATTTAATTACACACACATTTTATCTACTAAAGTATGGATTGAAAAGAAGCTATACACAAAATGTATATAATTTTGTGTGTAAGCTCACAAACTGTGAATGCAAAGTCTATAGAAAATGTTGGCATTGCAACCAGCTCAAAGTGAAAAAAATAACTACACAAAGAGTACATATAACCGAACAAGCAGGTTTAAAAATTGAAAAAACAATCAGCATATAAAAATTGCATGTGCCTTTTGTATTTTTTGTGTTCGAACACTGTGAAAGCTTGTTGCCAAAAACCAAGTATTTCTTTATACTTATGGTTGAGTCATCTTGACTTGCAAACAAGCGAACCGCCTAGAGAAGGCTCACAACGAAATTCCATGAAAAAATAGTCAATGAGATTTTTTGTTCCAACCAATGAAAATGAGAGGAACTTTGGTTTCGGATGTGTTTCTGTTGTTTTTTCGTTCTTTTTTTTTGTTTACCATGCAAAATCAGCTAACACAAATAATCATCGGAATCAGTTGAGTGATAAATCATATTAAAGCCCTTTCAGTCGTTATTCGAACGTTTCGAAAAAAAAATTTTGAAAATTTTTTCCCAGTAACGCAATCAAATAACGCTCGTTAAATGAAAATTTACTTCCACGTTCTGCACGTTCTGCAATACTCAAAGTGAGAAAGCAACTGCAAAAACAGCACATCAGAACTAATGTGCAAGTTAATTGTAAAAAAAATATATATAAAAAGTCGGGTTAATGTTGAGTAGTTTCTTTTCGGACCCTGAGCAAGCTTACAGCCAATAATCAAGTATCTTCTATAATTATGGTCCAATCATCTTGACTCGCAAATATATGAGATAAAAACAGTGCCGCCTAAAGAAGGATTACAACGAAATCTAATGAAGAAACAATCACTGAGGTTTTCTCTTTTGACCAATGAAATCGTTTCCTTTTTTTTGTCCCTTTTTTCCACGCAAAAGAAGCAACCACCAAAACTCACTGAAGTAAACTGAATGAGAGATAATTTTAAAACCTTTTCAGTTTTGATCCGAAAAAAAAACTCATGCATTTTTTTCAGTGTAGAGAAAAAAATCATTTGAGTAATTTGAATGATACACCATTTTAAAGCCCTTTCAGCCTTGATTTGAACAATGAAAAAAAAACTCATGCATTTTTTTCAGTGCTTCAAAATTTAATTTTTAAGGCTTTCAAAAAAAATTTGATTTTACTGTAACGAACAACAGTTTTATGATGTTCAATTAAGCGCTTGTTTAGCAAAAGCAATATTACAATTTATACGCTTATAATTATTATAATTATGATTATTATGATCATGATTATGATGATTTTGATTTTGGTTATGATTTACTTTTTGATAATTATGTTTTAAATGTTTTTATGATGATTGTAATGATTTTCATTATGATTATTTTGATTAATATGATGATTTTTATGTTGATTATTTCGATTAAGTTTATAATGATTAAAATTATTGTTATTACCATGATTAAGATTATTATGATTATATCTATTATTATTATGATTATGATTGTTATTATGATTATTAGGATTACTATTATGATTACTATTATGTTTTTCATTATGAATTTGATTATGGTTATTAGGGCTAATCTGATTACGATTGTTATGAAAACCATGATCATAATAACTTTTTGTTTTAAGATTTTTTACAATTATGATTATGAATATATAATTGTTATTATGATTTATATGATTATGATCATGGTTTTTATGATTGTTTTTATGATTATCATGACTATTCTTAGGACTATTTTGTTAATTATTGATTTTTATAATTATTAATTCGATTATTATTATGATTATTATGATTGCGATAATGATTCTTCTAATGATTATTATGATTCTTAAGATTATTTTGATTTTTTTTCTTATTGAGCTTCTGATAATGATCATTATTTCGATTAGGGTTATAGCTAATTTGATGATTAATTTTAGTATAAGTTTTATTGATTTTTATGATTGTTACCTTTATAAGAATTTTGATAATGATTATTTTGATTCTGATTTTCATGATTGTCCTTAATATTATTATGATTTTGATCATCATTTTTCTGATTATATTTTGATTATGATTATAATTATTGTAATGATGATATTGTTGATGTTATGGCTATTATGATTAATGTTATGGTTTTTATGATTAGTCTGATTATGATATTATCGTGATTGTTATGATTATTATAATTATGATTATGATTTTTAAGATTGTTTTTTTGATTACTATGATTAATATTATGATTATGATATTAATATGGCTATTATGATGATGCTTAATATGATGATTGGATTCATCTGATTGTTATTTGGTTATTGTTAAGATTAATATTTTGATTATTATAATATTTATGATCATTGTTGTGATTTTTATTATAATTATTTTGATTAGTATTGTATCAATATTCTGATCATTATCAAGACTATTATTATGATTAGTGTCAATATAATCTTTATTCTGATGGCTACTAAGATTATTTATTATTATGATTAATATGATGATTTTTTCTAAAAAATATTATGACTAGTACTTTGATTATTATGCTTATTATGATGATTATTTTGATTATGACTATGGTTATTATGATTATTATAAATATAATTATTATTATTATGATTATCATTATGGTTATTATTGTTATTATGTCTATTATGATTACTATTACGACTCTTCTTCTTCTTTTTCTTCTACTTACGATATGCGGACCTCGTACAGGCGGCCACTGGTCAACCCCACCACCATATGACTTCGCACATCATTGGGCAAATATTGTTCATAGAGCTCGTCGGGCAGATTTGTCTGCAGGCAAACACTCTCCATAGAGGCAACCCTGAAACGAACTTCGACGTCTACGGGTTCCAATGACAGATGCTTTGTGGGGAAAACAATTTTTCAACCAGATAAATTTACCAATTAAAACCTCTTATTTTTGACAAGTTGCTGTTACGTGAAGTATTTCAAAATACATCCCAGTAGCTGTTGTAGTGGTAAATCGTTGGTCCGAGAAAAACAAGATTTCAGCTATTTTTCGTTTAATTCAACTTTACCCAGTTGTCTTTTGTTCCGAGTTGTCGTTGTGCCATACTTTAGTACAACGGCCATGCGGCCATTGCAAAGCCTAAATGAATGATATTACTTTCAACGAAATGCTGTCCACTGAAGTTTGTCAAAAAAAAACGTTTTGACCTGTCTTTGAAGACATTCGATATTGACGATATCCATCTTTTATTGCGGCTCGCTGTGAAAAAAAACTAGTCACTGTGAATGGTAGAAGCGTTCAAACCTGAAGAAGCCTCACCCGTTTTAATCACTTCCACTGTTTTTTTCTTTTTTTTTTGTTTTCCACGCAAAATCAGGTACCTCAAATAATCATCGGAATGGGTCGAGTGGAGGTGAGAAAAAAAATCCTATTAACCTTTTTCAGTCGTAATTCGAATGAAATTAAAAATTTTCAATTTTTTTTTTCTATTTCTGATTTGTAGTCTAATTTCCAGTTAATAGAGCGAGCGAGCAGGTTTATTTCTTCTTAACTAAAACTTTTTAAACGAGCTTGTTTGTTCCTAATTTTAAATTTATTCAAATAAAATTATTTTTGGGGTTTTTGAAAGACTTTTCGGGAATGTTAAAAATTTCGAACTTAAACCACCCTGAACTGTTTTAAAAGAAATTTTCAGTTTTTGAAGTGGTGATGCACGCTCAAACGCGTCAGAGCTTGCTCAAATCTAATAGCGTTCAAATTGGTACTGTTCTCAAACTTTTTATATTGGCAGAAGTAGTCGCTAAATACGGCCAACTTTATTGATTAAAAAATCCCGTGCATTTCACTGTTCTGATTCAAAACAATCAAATGACAAAAATGTGAAGGGGGGGTTAACCGGAGTTGCTGTAGGACAGGATACTCGTGGTTAAAGAGTGTGGGTAGCTGCCACTGAACGGTGAGAGAGTTCTCCGCTTCCGGGGGGATCTTTCGAATCCACAGACACTCGTCGGCCAGGGGTTCCCACACAGAACAGCCTCGGATGTAAGAAGATCCCTCGCCATGCATCCAATCCAGCCCTCGGCTCCAAGTTGCAACTCCTAGAAGAAATTTCTGACCAATTCCAAGCCAGATAGATGGATGCTCAAGCATTACCTTTTATTATAGCACTTCAAGTTTTTTTCAACAACCAAGTGCACAAGCCTTTTAACAAAAATTTTAAAAAGACTTTACTTTGGTAATTTCACTCCATCAAAAAATTTTCTTTGGCACTATTTTTCGACATCTTTGTTCAGTCAATTTTCTGCATTGCAGGCGTATTTTTGGGTCGGTTAGCTAAGAATGGGCCAACTAACCTTAGAGTATATCTGCGATCAGCAGCGGGTTTAGGGGGAAAGCGACGCCTCTTTCCTCTGTTACTTGACCCACTGGCCCGACCCAAAGGGTCCCAGTTTAGTATTATTTTGTATCCCTCAATAATGTATTATTATTTTGTATCCCTCAAAAATGTACCCTCAAATTTAAAAAAAAAACCAAAGCGGCACAAAATTTTAGCAGACAAAGGTTTAGGGTCGTTTAAATTTGTGAAGAATGCTGCTTAAAATCAACTTTGTCTGGAAAAAATCTTCCGCCATTTTGTTCGAAAACTGAATAAGTAACAAGAAAGAAAAGAAAAAAGTGTCAGAACTTTCTTGATTCAGAGAGTTACATTGAAAAAAGTTTCATTACGAGGCCAAACTGTGCACTGGATAGGCGCACACAATTGTGTCTGTATGTTCCTGGATTTCAGAGATAAGTATTTAAACATGTTCCAAGCTCCAAGTAGATTCAACTTACAAAATTTCCGTGGATATAGCTAGTTGTTCTGGATTCGGCAACTGTGAAAAGATTCCGCAAAATGTAAGTTGAATCCTCAAATGTAAGTGAAATCAGCAAAATTTGTAGCGGAATCCGCATATGTAAGCAAACTCCGAAATTTGTAAGTAGATTCCGAGTTTTGTTTTTTACTGAACTTGCATAAGAATAATTTAAAGTTAGAGCTGGAATTTTTATCTATAGCAATTCAGAATTGAAAAGCAAGGGCTTAACCATTGTCAGCAGAATCCACGAAAAATTTTTAAAACATTGATTAGCTAGATCGGTTGATATCACCCTTTAGTATTTGGGATACATATCCCAACCGGCAGTTTTTTGGGGTCATATTTTTGAAAACACAAAACCGAATAAATTCGTTTTTTAAAGTTAACGGATTGAGATTGTTTGGAAGCACAACGCACAGTGGTCCCTCGAATACTAAGATAGACAGGTTCCGCATGCGTGTATAGCATGTAATAATTGTAAAACTGATTTGTGCATAATTTATTTATTTTAATAATCTCGCAAAAATGTTAAGTCAGAAATTTTTCAGATTAAAAATTGTAATAATTATCTTGTTTGTTTCAACTGATTTATGACCACCTTTCTGTTGATCACATAGTAAACAGAAGATAAAATTTAAAAAGCTGTAACTTATAAAACAAAATTCCGATTATACTTGACGTTGCACTAACAGTTGCGAATTCTGCATCAAATCATTTTAACTAAACACTTGTTTTAATAATTGTTTGTGGATTCCACAAGTTGTTCCGGATTCGGCAAACTCTGTTGAGAATTCCGCAAGTTTGCCTATTTTTGGAGCAAGTTTGAGTGGCAGTGTTTTAGGTACTGGTTTGTGGAATCCCAAACAGCAAAGAAGATCATAGAAAAGTAGCAATGTTGTGGATTCCGCGGCCAATCTGATTTTTTGGCCTGTCGCAGAATCCACTTACGAGGCACAAAATGCGCATTGTGAGTGGATCGACATCCTGTGGCTCGACCATCTTCAGCCGTTCGACCGCCTGCCGACCCAAACGGTCCCCCCTATTTGTACTATTTTGAGATATCTATTTTTAGTGAGGTACCAATATAAACTAATTTTTAAGCGGGGAGCGCGCGCCAAAAAAAACGCGATTTTTTGGTCAACATTTTCCATAAAGTGCCTAAAAACGCCTTTTTCGGACTGTTTTTTTTTTCAAAATCTTGCCTGTGGCGCAGACAGTGTTGTCAAAATAGGGTATTTATAGTGACTTGGAGAGCTCAGAAAAACAATTTGATCGACCTAAAAAAAAGGTCGACAAAATTTTTTGAAATCCGCCCCCTTGAGAAAATACTACATCCGCTTCTGCCTGGTATTGTTGAAATTCATTGAACTATGCACCTATGCATCATTTTGAAAGTGTCAAAATGACGCATTGTGTAAAATTTTTTGGCATTTTTTTGAACATTTAAGGCTAGATGACAGATATGCTACCTTCTGGTCTTATCTTCCTGATTATGAAATCATTTCAACCCAGGATTGGGGACTTTGTTTCAAACAGTTTAAAACACAGGGTTAAAAAACTGTTTAAAACAGCGGGAAAAAAACACGTTCAAAACACTACTTTTCTTCCAGATCTGAAAATGCCAAGACCAAAGCACGCTATCTAGGACTCGTTCTCAGAGATCAAGCTGGATGGAAAAGATCGCGCAAAGTGCAAAAGATGAGGGGCTGACTTCTTACCACTTGTCGAGCGCATGAAAACTCACGACATTGCATGCAGACTGAAGAAACGACAAGCTGACGACGAAAGAAAGTAGGTACCTGTTTGCAGAAAGTTACCATGCGGTTTCGCCCACAGCGTGGTGGTCATGCGGTATTCATCTCGGGTTTGACGAAGAGTTAGTCAACCTGGCTAAAGCCCTTGTTTCCGCCATAGGGTCGAGTGGTGGACTAGAGCGTCAGTTTTCAACCCTTGGGATGAGTTACGGATCTTTGAGAAATCAACTTGACGTCGAAAAAGCGGGGGAAATGACTTTCTTGTACAAACAATTCAAACGTTGAATTCAGTGTTCGCGAAATAATTTTTTCTTAAGCCAATCAACAAAAAAACGTAGCCGCGAAAAAAACATAAAAAACATAAAAAACCTGTTTTTTTCGTAAAAAACATGTTTTATGGTATAATTGGATATAAAAAAGGTTTAAAACTCCCACCCTGTTTCAACCTTTTATTCAATCAAGCTGTTCAAGCTTGGCAAACTTTGTCAAAGCTGCCAAATTTTTCAAACTATACAAAACAAAAACACTTTCGTCTTTTCGATGACGTTTAGATAAATGTTGTCGAAAAACTGTTTAAGAGTCTCGTTTTCATTTTTTACAAGCTTGTGAGAAAACTTGCTCTGATTTATTGAACTATAAGAACAAACAAACTGTTCGTGGCAGTGTCTACCCCCTCTTTGCTTTTACTGCATTGTTAGAGTATTTTTGTCAAAACACCTGAGTATTTTTGTTCCTTTTTTCAAAGAGAGTGGCACAATCTTTATACGTGGGTTGGTTCTCTATTCAGTCAAATATCGACTTTAATTTGAACTTTTTGTTACTGATTTATAACATCTGGAAGATATCGTTGCCTTCAGGTCAAATTTAAAAAATTATTAATTTTAAGCAGGGGCGGATCTAGGATTTTCTCGAGGGGGGGGGGGGCGGATTTTCAAAAAAATTTCGAAATATTTGACGACCTTTTTTTTTTATTTTTTAGGTCGACCAAATTGACTTTCCGAACTCTCCTTAAACATTAAAAAGACTACGCTTTGGTCAAATTTTCTGCGCCGCAGGCAGAATTTTGAAAAACAGCTCAAAAAAGCCGTTTTTGGGCAATTTTTTGAAAATTTTGACAATAAAAATCGCGTTTTTTTGGTGCGCGATTATTTTTTGGTGCGCGTTAATGCAATACCAGCTCCCCTTGTAAATTTAAGGTCGGTCGGCCAAAAATAGATTTCTTAAAAAATACCAAAAAGAGGGACCCTTTGGGTCGGCAGGGGGTCGAATCCCTAAAAGAGAGGAGGACCCCCCGCCCCCCTAAATCCGCCCTTGGTCTTAAGATTATTTTTAAAAGTATGATTGTTTGAAAATTGCTATTTTGGCCAACGCGCAAAATGATGCGGTTTTACAACAAGCATGAAATCGTCCCAAGTTGATTTAACACCAATAATTTGGTCTTTTACCCATTGTGGGAGATGTTAACATACAACCTATAGTGTTTTTGATTATTATATCTTGTTTTTTGAGACATTTTTTCAATTTTAAGGGGCAATCGGAAATTTAAGGTTTTGTTAAATTGAGAAAACCGAACTTTGCAAACCTCTCCCTTCTCCCACGCAATATCCAGTGCTAAGTGATACAATACGTTTCTGATTAAGTAAAAATTTATAAGGACAATAAGCTTTCTCCAAAATCTCAATTTAATTTGAAAGGATTTTTGAGCTCTAATAATCTGCCTCTTGTGCGTTAATGCAATACCAGCAAACAGGAGGAGCTTTATGGGATGGGTTCGGGGTGAACCCCATCCTCCTTCCGGCTTCAGAGATTCGACTCACTGACTACTAAAAAAGTCTTTGTTTTGATACTTTTTTAGCTACATCCACGTTTGGCTGCCCGAGTTAAAAATTTTTGCGTGGGCGCCTTGGGTGCCAATATATACTAAAGTTAAGAGGAAAGCGAGCTCCAAAAAAAACTTAGTTTGAAGCCTTTTTCAACTTACTGCCTGCGGCGTTGAATTTTTCAAAACATAAATTTTTAGTTTTCTTGGGAGAACTCCAAAAACCAATTCGGTCGATAAACAAAAAGTCGACAAACTATTCCAAGCATTTTTGAAACACGCCCCCCCCCCCCCCCTCGGCCCCTAAATAATAAAAAGATCCGCCCCTGTTGGTAAAAATCCAATTTGACATTTTTAAACCTTCATAACTAACAAAAAAGGTCACATTGAGACTTTTTTCAAGTTTGAGCTCAGGGCATCATTATCCTTCAGATTGTTTCAAAAATTTTGTCCAAAAAAGTTAATTGTAAAGTCAAACTTTTTCTGCAGAATAAGCCACAGCGAAAACATATGTTCCGTCGTTTTATCCGAAAAATGGACCTTTTTTGTCGACTTTTTTTGGTTGACCATATGAAGATCTTCTTTGGTCTATGTTATTGCAACAAAAACACGCCGAAAACATTTTGGGATTGGTCGGCCGAAAACGGATGTCTTAAATAGTACCAAAGTGGGGACCCTTTGGGTGGTCAGGTAGTCGAATCACTGAGAAGGGGCATCCACATCCTTAAATCAACCCCCCCCCCCCCCCCCCCCGGGTGGTATTATAAGAAAGCTATTGTTTCAGATTTTTAATTAGTTTTTAGCATCAAAACGATGGATTTTTTTTAAAACTAAACATAAATGCAAAAATTTCTAAGGTTTATTTGAAACTTGCCTAGTAGATTCTCCTGGTCAAGGAGTCTTGAATCAGTCACCAGGAACTCACAATCATGACTTCTCAATTGGTAGTTGAAAGACCGACAGAACGATCGTGACAGACACGACAAACCACAGAGCCGACTACTCTTCGCTTTCTCCGTCCCGTTGACGAAACTTTCCAGTATTTTCACACTAGTGTAGGTTACACTGAATCCCAAAGAGGACGTCGAAGACCCAAACGTAGGTCTCACGTCCAAAGTTACAAGAAACATAAATAACAAAATCATGGTTTTAAAGCAGTTTTTTGTCCCAATTTTTTCTCAAATCTAAATTTCAATTTTTTTTTCTAAATATAATAAGAAGCAGCTGATTTGAAACCTCACATCTCTAATTAATAATTCAATTATTGTTGCCTTATCCTTCTGACCTGGCCGGATGCAGACGAATATCTTGTTTCAGATCTTCGAGTTTATTTTATAAACAGTTTTTGATCATTGAATGGATTTAGATGGAAAAAGAGAACTTAGCGAAAATCGGGGAAAAATTTGCCAAAATCAAGTTGAATCTGAAGCTTTAAAAGGGCTGACTTTTTTCGCTTTTCATAAACAATATCAGTTTCAATTTGTCATTATTTAATCGAAACATTATACATTATTTCAAATTCAAAATATTAACAAATTAAAGCGCTTCCGTTATTTTTTGAAGTAAGTCTTAGTGAGCACCTGAAAACTTTGAGTACATGCGTACAAAATTCAATTATAAATTATTCACGACATTTCTGCTTTCAAGCCGAATTACTTGCATTATAAGCTATCCCAGAAAAAAATTTCGCTCTGATGGGCAAGAAATCATTTAAAATCACTAAAAATACCAAAAAAAAACTTTCTGTGGAAAGGATCCATTTATATCCACTTATTTATTTATAAATTAATCTCCAGACAGGATCCTTTTATGTAAAACATGGTCGAAACTTCTAGTGCCAAATAGTTCTAATTGAGAAGTTAAAATTTATGCTTCGTATTTAACTACTTAACAGCTTTCCAAAATGTGTTGATCTATCATTCTATACTCGTTTTCAGAAGAAGTCAAGCCCAATCGATGTAAATGCAAACAATTTTATAGGATACCCCGTCAAAAATATGTCAATAATGTCAAAAATAAATCAATAAAGGCTTAGCAATCTTTAAAGCTGATCATAGCCAGAGTTGACTTTTAATATTGATGTAACCGTGCGTGTGAAAAAAAGTAACCCTTATCTCATGGATGTAAAGCAGCAAAAATGGGAAACAATCAAAAATAATCAGCAACATGGCTCGTTTTTGAATAGTATACTAAACAAAGTAAGAAACGGCAGAAGACAAAGTAATGGCAACTGTGGTTTCTCTGATGTGCCGAGGAACTACGAAAGGTTATACAGCCTGTCTAAGAATAGTCCATCTTATATATTAAATGAATGACACGTTTTCAGCATAAGGCCTAATGTTTAAGGGGCTATCGAGCGCAACGTTTAAAAAGGCTTAGACCGGTACTTTAAGGATCAGAGCAACAATCAGAGCGAGATGAACTCAATTCAACTTTACCCGCACCGAAGTTTCATGGGTAATAATCGATTATAATGGATTCTCGTTGACTGAAATCTTGTCTATATAATCGATTATCATGTCAATTTTAGACCACGTAATCGATTTTTAATCGATTATAATTGATTATTTTGGAAAAATTTAAATCCTTCATAATCCATTTTAATCGATTATAATCCATTTTTGTTTTCAATATAATAATCCTTCATAATCCATTTTAATCGATTATAATCCATTTTTGTTTTCAATATAATGGATTATTTTTTGTACAAAAAATCCATGAAAACTGATAAAATTTTGTAAATAATGACTCTAACTTTTGTAAATAATGACTCTGCAAAACTCGAACGAACACGTTCATCCAGGGGCGGCCAATTTGTAGTAATTTTCCAAAAAGTGCCCAAAAACAGCATTTTTGACCAGCTCCTCACGTCAACCCCACCCCCGCCCCAACATACCCCCCCCCCAACATACCCCCCCCCAACATACCCCCCAACGTATCCCCCCCCCAATTTACCCCAACCAACGACGTACCCCCGTCACGTACTCCCATCCCCCAACGTACCCCCCTCCCCCCAACGTACCCGCAATCCACGGCGTACCCCCGTCACGTACTACAATCCCCCGAACGTACCCCCAACCCACGACGTACCACCCACCTCCCCCAAACAACGTAACCTTATTTTCCCACGTACCCCCCAACCACGACCTACCCCCTCACGTTCCCCCATCCCCCCACGTACCCCCCAACCTCGACGTACCCTCCCCCTCTCTCTAGTTAGGGGACATATAACTGTAGTACGGGCATGGGTGGGGAGTTGGTGTGGGATCTATAGGTAATTTTTAGTAATTTTTCATAACTCGATTGAAAATAGGAAAAAATGAAATTAAGCGAGAGAACAAAATAACTAACTTAAGTTTATCAAAATTATGAAAAAATGAAAACAATACATAAAAAGCTTTGGATAAATAGATTATAATTCATTATAATCGATTAAAATGGATTATTTTTCTTTTGATAAAATTTTTTGAAAATAATCGATTATAATCTATTATAGTAGATTATATTGGGATTTTTTTACTTAAAAAATATTATCATTATAATCTATTTTCAATCGGTTATAATCGATTATTTTTGTTATTTTGTAGAGACTGACAATGAAAATCTAATATAATCTATTATTATCCATGAAATTTCAGTGCGGGTAAGGCTTGACAGTACCTGCCCACTTTTTGTCCAAAATTTTGCGTTTGTTAGATTCATTTCAGTCTGTAACGAGTCCTATAAAACAGCAATCTCTAGGCTAAGAAAGAAACTTTTTGCAAACCGGTTCGGTCTATGAATCAAATGGAAATGTTTCTTGAAATAGCTTGAAAAGCTTGCTTGGAAAAACTGAAAGTTTTCACGAACCAATTCAGTCTATGAATAACTTGAAATATTTAAGTTTCATACCTTGATGAAAAGCTTGCTTAGGGGATCAATTGCGCAATTTTCGCGAACGATTCACTCTATGAAATCAAAGTTTTATAGCTTTAAAAGCTTGCTTAGTAAACTTTATTTTTTTTCATAAACTGATTCGGTTTATGAAACAAATTGAATTACTTCAAAATTTCTTGCCTAAAAAGCTTGCTTAGAAAAACTGAAACTTTTTTCGAACCGATTCGGTCTACAAAATAACTTGAAATAATTCATGCTTCATAGCTTTAAAAACTTGATCAGAAAAACAACTTTTTCGCAAACAATTCAGTCTATGAATGAACTTGAAATAATTCAAAGTTTCATAGCTCTAAAAGCTTGCTTAGAAAAACTTCAATTTTTTGCGAACTGACTCAGTCTATAAAATAATTTGTAATAATACAAATTATCATAGCTTTAAAAGCGTGCTTATAAAAACTTGATTTTTTTGCGAACCGATTCGGTCTACGAAATAGCTTGAAAGAATTTAAGTTTTTTTAGCTTGATTAGCTTGGTTAGAAAATTTTTAAGGTTTATGCGTACTGATTCTGTTTATGAAATGAATTGAAATATTTCAGGGTTGCATAGCTCTATTAGCTTGCCTAGAAGATCTTACTTTTTTCGCAAACCGAGTCAGCCTATATATTTACTCGGAAATTTTTTTAAGTATCGTAGTTTTCGAAGTTTCGAACAGCCTCAAAGTTCCAAATAGCTTGCTTAAACAAATTTTTTGTGAAACGATTTGTTTTATTAAATATCTTGAATTGTGTCAAAGTTTCATAGCTTAAATTGCTTGCTTTGAAAAACTGTAATTTTTGGCAAAAACGATTCGGTCTCAGAAATAGCTTGGATTTTTTCAAAGTTCCTTGCTTCATTAGCTCGCGCAAAAAAAACATAAAGAACTAAGAAAAAACCTGGAAATCACTTGAAAGGCTTCACTAGAAAAACTGTTTGCCATCCGGTTTGAAAAAACAGTTTGAAAAAGTTTGAATTATTCAAAGTTTCATAGCTTAAACAGCTTCCTTATAAAAATTTATTTTTTTACCCTATAAAAAACTGAAAATAACTCTAAGTGCCCTAGCTTAATAGTTTGCTTCGGAAAACTTATAGTTTTTGAGAGCCAAATCAGTGTATGCAATTGCTTAGAAATTTTTAAAAGTTTCATGTTTTCAATAGCTTGCATAGAAAAAAAAAATTGAACTTTTTGTGAACCAGTTCGCTCTGTTTCATTTCATAGCTTGAATAGCTCACTAAAAAAATGTTTAATTTTTTGCCAAGCTGGTTTAAAAAACTTAACTTTTTTTGCTAATTGAGTTAAATTGCGTCATCCGATTTGCTTCATGAAACATTTTGAATTATCTCAAAGTTTCAAAGCTTGCTGAGAAAAACTTCATTTTTTCAGAAACCGATTCGTTCTATGAAACCTGAGGTTTTTCAAACCTATTTACGATATGGCCTTAGTTGAAGTTGTTCTAAGTTTTTTTTTTTGCTTGGATAGCTTGATCAGAACAGCAACTAATTTTTTGCAAGTCAAGTGATTGTTGGAGGCGGGCTTGCTAGTTTACCTTAATTCAGCACACTACAGACTGAGTTAAATTTTTGTGGCTCAATGCCGTTTCTTTGCATCTAGAAACTTTGTGTGGCACCACTTTGGCAGCTGAAATCTCACAGACTGAAGTAGAGCTGAAGCTAGAGGTCAAATACCAGCACGTCCTCACATACTATCATTATCAAGGCAGGGGATCAATTGCGCAATCTGCGGTCTCGAAGTGAAGGCCTTGCCTTAAGGCTAAGTGCCTCTGCACTAAGTAGTATATGTTGAATAAAATCAGTGCGAGGTCATTGAGAGCCCCATGTATTAAGATAGGTTGTAGCTTTTTGTTCTTCAGGTTTTGTTTTATTATACGGAATATATTTCGCATGTATTAAGAAAGCTAATAAGTTTCAGATCGTAACTTTCAGGTAACTTTTTTGGCGACGGATTTTGTCGATACAGCAATGTTCAAAACTCTATACACCCAAGATCCTGTGTATTAAGATGTGGAATGTTTTTCTCAATTTATTACGTTAGGTTTCAGATTTTCGGATGATGAAAAAGTGTCAGTTGATCAACAATTTGCTTGTAAAGGTAAAACTAGCAGAGCAAACGTCTGACTTTAATTTATTATTTGTGCAATTTTTTATTTTGCAGATAAAAAAAACACTAATTCAATAGCGTTTGTAAATTTGTCTTGCAGAAACACACTTTTGATTACTATTAGCTAGAAAATTCAAAGCAAATTAGACTCAAAGTCATTTGTTAGCTTTGATTTCTGTCAAAATGAGTTTTATGTGAGA